TTTTTGCAGGGGGGCCTCCTATTTGCACAGAGGGCCTCCTACTTGTCCATGGGGCTTACTATTTGTCTAGGGGCCTCTTATTTGTCTAGGGCCTCCTATTTGTCCAGGAGGCCTCCTACTTGTCCAGAGAGCCTCCTATTTCTCCAGGGGACTTCCTGTTTTCCGGGGGCCTCCTACTTGTTCAGGGGGCCTCCTACTTGTTCAGGGGGCCTCCTACTTGTTCAGGGGACCTCCTACTTGTTCAGGGGGCCTCCTACTTGTTCAGGGGGCCTCCTATTTGTCCAACAGGGCCTCCGATTTGCCCAAGGGGCCTCCTATTTAAACAGAGAACCTTTTATATGAATATCGGACCTCCGTTTGCAAAGAAGCTGATGCGTCTCGGGGGCCTCCACTATTGGGGTCCCAAAATGACAATTGGGGTCCCAAATGTTCGCATTGGGGTCCCACATGGGACCTCGAAAGTATACAAAGTTACACCCATGGTGCCACGTGCAAAACGAAGAGGTGTCAGTTTTGTTATTGTTGCAATATCTCGGTAACTACTTGGCCGATTGCGCTGAAAGTTTGCATGTAGGTAGGCACCCACTAGGCACTGCATATACATGTGCCAGAGTTGGGGTGCTGCTGCACGTGCGCACGTGCAGGGGTCGTTTCCAGATCTCGGGAACGGCTTGACCGATTGCGCTCAAATTTGGTACACGGTTAGGGACCGGTTAGTAGGGTGCCGTGCACAAGTCAGTTGGGACCCATTTTGCACGTGCGCACGTGCAGGGTGCCGCTTCCAGATCTCGAGAACGGCTGGGCCAATTGTGCCCAAATTTGGCACATCGCTAGAGACCAGTTAGCAGGGTGCCGTGCACAAGTCAGTTGGAGGTACCCCCTCGCAATTTCGCACGTGCAAGGCCCACCCTCTCGCTCGCTCCGTTAGTCGCCCCAAAAGGCGTTATACTGGTTTATAAAATTGCTGAAAATGATCATGAGATAATAATAAAGAAATTTTGATTGAATTATAATTTAAATTATCAACCGTGAAACTATATTCTGGTAGGTTTAGTAGAAATAAGTCCGTGCAACCTTGTATTTAGGGCCTTGGCTGCAGTCACCGCGCCCTCTAGCAGATTCACGCGTTAGAATTTCCATGACATTTTCAATACATTTCTTCGTTTTCGTAGTCTGGATGGTTTAGAATAAATATACCAGCTGATTTTTATAACAATTGGAGCCTGGAGGACAGCATGCAATAAAATATCATGATATTTTATATTTGTTATGAAAAATATTTTTTTTCGTATATTAAAAAAGATATGAGCCTTATAAAGACGCAGAAGAGACAACAACGGCGCGGTTTCAAAGAAAGGGGACTGTCAAAATATTTGGGGCCTTGGTAACAACTGGATTTCCATTACGTCATGGGTGATGATGTCACACCACGGGTGACGTTTCACTGCTGCTGCTGCTGTCCACGGAGGGCAGCGTTTGTGAGTGGAAAACAGTAGCAACATTGTAAATGAAGGCAGTATTGGCGCTTATGCTACATATGAAATTTATAACAACATATTGATATTAGTGAATGTTTATTTTTGTTACTTTTCATAAACCCTCCATTTCAGGGTCTGCATGCAAAATTTCTGTTATTTTAGAGTCAAGCTATTGTACTGAGGGATTTATTTTGGCAATTTAGTCATTTGTTAGGTTATAAGGCTGCAGAAACTTTAAGTTGAGGTTGGTATCCACTATCCAGTTGCAGCTATAATTGTGTCATATTTTGTATCATTTTCTGAACATGTGAACACCTACATATATGAATTCAAATATTGTGATTGTAGAAAAGCAGTTACCCTCATATTGCAGCGGGGATTAGAACAATTAACCACACTTGTTATACAAAAAGCCTGTTTGCCATCAATTTTGGGAATTTAAATTGGGTATTGGTAAGGTAGATGTAGCACAAGCTGCCCGATGCATGAGAATGGGTCTTTCTAACCAAACCTTACCTAACCTGACCTACAAACTACAGCCTTAAACCTAAAATTTACAACCTACGACCTAGTCCTGCGGTATGGCATATCACAACAGCTTGTGCTACGTCTGCTACCATGACCCAACTTTGTGCCAATTCATACCAACTTGGGATGACAGTCACTGCAGATGTGTGCTGACCATGCAGGTCTTTGTTACAATTGCAATTTTATTGTGTTACAGGTTTCGGCGCTCTACAGCTGCGACCCGCCATGGCTGGGCCACCGCGGCGGCATCACCTTCAGGGTGGACCTGCCCGTGGCCACCCGCCGGTCGGACCCGCCTGCAGTCTGCAGGGAAGCTGCCCTGCAAGCCATTGCAGAGCTCCCGCACCCGGACGTCACTATCTGGTCGGACGGCTCGGCTCGCGGCGGACGGAACAGGGCGGCGCAGGCTCTGATCCAGTTCCACCACCTCAACAGAGAAGAGACTGTGCGCGCTCCTGCAGGGGCGGTCTGCTCCAGCCTAAGAGCAGAACTGACCGCCATGCGCGAGGCGTTCGCGGCTGTGGCCGGCCTGGAGGACGGGGAGTTGGCGTCGACCAAGTCGGTCCGCCTCCTCACCGACTCAAGGTCTGGGCTCCAACTACTCGGCCGCGGCCCAGCTAACCATACCATGGCCCTGGCTGCCGAGGTGTGGAGGCTGCTGAGTGCTGAGCATCATCGCCGAGAACGGCACCGAGACGGTGCTCCAGTGGGTGCCAGGCCATGCCGGGCTGGACGGCAACGAAACCGCCGACCGCCTGGCTGGCGAGGCCACGGCGGGCGACCAAGACAGCGCACCGATCGACCTGTCGAGTGCGCGGGCCGCCGTCACGCGCCATGTCCGGGAGCTGTCGCGACAGAGGGCAACCGCTGCCCACCCACACCCGGACCCCACGCCTGGCCACGACTCCCTGGCGCGCTGGGGTCAGTGACGCTGTCCCAGCTGAGGACCGGCACATCACCGCTGACCCGTGACACGCTCCACAAGATTGGCCCGGAAGCCGACGACGAATGCCCCGCGTGCGGGGAGCCCGACAGCGCGGCGCACCTACTGACCGATTGTCCGGCCTATGAGGTGGCCCGCCGCCGCCGCTGGGGTGTCGACCCTCGCCTGGTCGACGTCCTCGGCGGCCCGGCGACGAAGGTCGTCACCTTCATCGAGGATGTTGGGCGGACCGAGCCGCCGCTCGACCTGCCTGCGCCGCCGCCCCCCTGAGCGGGTTGGCGGTGGGATGCAGAAGAAGAAGAAGAAGCAACTGCCAGCGCGCCACGGCGGCGAAGCCGAGTTCCGCCGCTGGACCGCCCGCGCAATGGCCAGCACAGACAAGAGACAACCGAATCACAACACCTACAATTACGTTATTGTTATGGTATTGACATTGTTACAATTAACCCTGCTCTTTCGAGCGTGGATGCACGCTGAAATTGTCGCATAATTCCATGCAGCTTCCACCCTTCTGCAATACAAAGTTTGAATGCAAATTAGTCTTGCAATAGGTTTAGAACTTATGTGCAGATTGTCGATGCTGGTTGACTTGATGATTGGAATTGTGTTTATCTGTTTCATCTGTTTTGACTTAAATATATGGCCATGGACTATGGCCTACCTTGGGAAGTGTCTCTGATTTCAACAAAACATTTTTCATCAGGATACGCTGCAGGGTACATAGTACATACGTAGTGAAAATTTTGAGCATGTATGGGTGCTCATGTGGAGATGTAGACTGCGAATGAGACGGACTACGACGGTTTTTGAACCAATTAAATCTGATTGACAACATAATGTAGGACTTAAAACTGACTGTCAGAAGAATATTCACAGAATATTCACTTCACCCGGTACAACGAAAAGGGAAAGTCAGGGAACAGAGGTAGGGTACATCTCGAAGATCAATCAAATTGCAGGTGCCGATTGGTTATGGATCATCGCAGCTCAAGGTACTGCCTTGTGCTGCTTTATTGTTAACTGAAATTGCTTCCACCTTGTATTGAAAGAAGTCATTATGGAAGATTTTAAAAAGGTTCTTGAAAAAATTTAAATACTTTGAATTCATATTTCTGCAGAATTATACACCCGTATCATTCTTTACATGTCAATATTTGTATATTATCTAGCATATAAGAAAATAGTGGCCTCAAGTTTCTAGAAAATGTCTGATTTTGCTCTCTGGGCCACTGCAGATCCCTAAAAAGTTAGGAGCCGTCTTCATTATTTAATGTATAAAACCAAATAAATTATCACTGCTTAAAAGTGGAAGAAATGACAAATGAAAAAACAAGTTTTCCTACAGCGTTGCAATCCAGATTTCAAGATAGTGATGGGCGCACTAGAAAGCAAGTAAAAGTACTCCACAAGGTAAAAGTAAGGAACAAGAATATCCTTATACTGTTTCAGAATTCGGTAACAAACATTTTTTATGTATTTTAAATACCCGAACGAATCGAATCCAGAATCAGTCTTGATGATATTATATGGTTTTTGTATGGTGTTGGTGGTACTTGAATGACCAAAGTCAGTACATGTCCATCACCTTTCGATATTTCCGTGGTGCTCGCTCCCATTTCATAGCTGCTCACGGTGTTTTCTGCTGACGTCATATGGTGCTGCTCCACTAGCGCCACCATACGGGGTCAGCTGGCGAATTATCCAGTTAATACCAGAGCCCAATATTTGTACGTGTTTTCCTTTCGTTCGTCTAATGAAAAAAAAATGTTTTGTCTAGGTCGTAAATAAGTAAAAGTTCATTTTAATTGTTAGCATCACATTGCTCATAGGAGCTCAATGAAATTATATCCACTTCATAGCAATAACAACTGAGGTCCTTCCTTAACATCCCCCTTTTCCATTCTCTTATTTCACAACACCAACATGACATCGCCTATTACGTAAGCTTTCTGATTAGAAACACTCGTTTCACGGTTTCACGTTTGGTAGGTTTGTTATTTTACTTTTGTTGCTGTTTTTCTGCACATTGCTGCTGCTTGGCTCTTAAGGGATAACTTTTCTCTGGTGGCCTTGGTTTTATGTGAATAGTTACTACATATGTCAATGTTATGAATTTGTTTTTCTAAAAATTATATTGAGTTATTGGTAGGTAAATTGGATGAAAAACAGATTTTCAAAGCTAAAATTTCATGCAGTAAAAAAGCCCCTCAGAATTACATAAGATTGCTATTGTTTTATCTCAATCTGCGATGCTACCTATTGATCTCATTTTTCTCAAACAATAGAGATGTAACGGTATCCATCTGCTTCCTACTTTTGGATGAGTGCATATAATGAGAAATAAGCTATTTTGAAAGTAAGTCATTTTGTATTTGCCTTGAACTGCATTGGTCGTATCTGCCTATCGTAATATCATGTCTTACAAGCACACTGATTCAGAACAGCTACCTATTCCGCCATGCAATGGCAAAAATGATTGTCAGGTCAGAGGTCATTGCATCAAGCCAGGGTTCATCTGAATGAAATTGTTTTTGCCTTTGCACAGCAGTGTTTGATTAATTGGTCGGAGATTAATTAATTTTAAAGCATTTCTCAATCATAAATGCAGGCATTTTTCTTTTCAGATTAACGTAGGTAATGGACGGTATTACAAGATTATCAAGTTGTAGCACATTGCTAAGAAGGTGTTCAGGTTCATATATCTGCCAGCAACTGAGGTGAGTTAACTAATAACTTTCAAATTTAAAATAGATGTCAACCTGATCATAAACATAAACTTAAAATCAGTCACAGACTTTTCTCTCTCTTTCTCTCTCTCAGTGGCAGTAATTATTCATATGCTACTTTTCACCTCATGCTAACCACAATTGTATAACATGTGACTATAATGGCAACTAGACATTGTGGCCTGCTCAGTGCTCATTTCATTTGCTAATTTGTCTTTGATGCACTTGTATGAACCTTGCATCACCTTGGATTTATTTACAGATTTAGAAGTAGAACTCACTATGAAGTACTGGGAGTTTCAAAAACATGCAGCACAAAAGACATTCGAGAAGCATACATGACCCTGTCTAAAAAGGTTTGTTAGCCTTATGCCTGCTTGGTGTGAATGGTGTAATAACATTATGCATTTCCTACTTTTTCTTCCTACTTTTTTTCTCACTGTTTTCTTGATATTTTCAAGGCATATAAAATATTCTTCTGTAATAGATCAAAGGAATTATGAGTGAACAGTTTTATTTATTTTTCATTCATCATGGTGTTTTTATTTCATTCTCAGCATGTTGCTCCTCAGTGTACACCTCACAAGTCACATGCTCTGCACCCTGGTTCCCCACATGCAATTCCTCTTGCAGCTGCATCCGGACGTATCTCCGGGGAGTCACAGCGAGTTCGTCCTGCTGAACGAGGCGTACCAGACGCTCAGCCGCCGCCAGGCGCGCGCTCTCTACGACGCCAGCCTGCTGCGCCCGACGACGGCAGCGCCGCCACCCGGGCAGAGCTGGAAACGATACGGCGACGTCGAGTCGACACACGACCGAGTGTGAGTGGCTGCGGCAGTCGGCAGACATTGTCAGGGACTGGAGTGGTGATGAATGAACCATTTATCAGGCTGGAGTGTATGTCTGAACTGAGTGTCAGAGCTGGTCGGTTACGCGTAAAAATAATGGGCGTATCAAGCTAGCCCGAGCTCGCACTTTTGTATGTTAATTGCTGATTTTGGAAGTTTTGGGTATATCCATTACATCGTCTGACATCCTGGTGAAAACATATTTGCTTAGGAAGTCTTTGAAACAGTGTTGTATCAGGCTGCTTACCGGGTTCTGCTGCCTCGCCAGGTTCACTGACGACACCATCTGGGGCATGAGGGACCGCAGCAAGGACAGCGAGTTCAGCGACAAGCCCTATTACGGCATCCGCGGGGTGAAGCGGCTCTCCAACGGTCCCATCGCCGTGTTCTGCCTGCTCTTCATGGTGCTGGGCATCTTCATACACGTGACGGCAATCAGGTCAGTGGCTGAGACCGCGGGGCATATTGTGATCAGATGCAAATTTCCTATGTTAGTGAGGTGATGGGGTGTTCGGTTTGATGTGATGATCCATCAAAAATCGGCGAAAAAATGCTTGAATGAGTGGCTGAAGACGTAAAATAAGTATAATGACATTATATTCTATGAAGTGACTGATAAAATAATGCGGCAGTGATTGCGTTTTTTTTTAACGATCCGATGAAATTCATGCGTATTTTCATACAAGTGAGTTGAAACAGAATGTGAATAGCTTTAGGCTTTTCATTCGGGCAATTTTGTACCATAATGAACTCAGCATTATTTTGTGCTGTTTTCAGAGCCTCCCACCAGAGTGCGATGGCGTACATCGATGAGAAAAATCGACGCATCTACGCTACTTACTCAGACGCCAAGAGCAAGGCAATGGATCCCAAGGATAAAACCAAGGTCGAAAGTTTCCTTAAGTCTTTAAAGGCAGATGCTGTTGAGTAATATGCTCATATGATCTTGATTAGGTTAAAGCCTAAAGGCATTCGTGAAATGTCTTTGCTACGGTGAAAATATTGTTATTTTTGTGTACTGAATAGGTGTAGGCACCACACTAAGTAAATAATAGGGAAGTAGGGATGTTACAGTTGGGATACTGCAGTGCGACTGAGATATCATGGAAGGAATCCTTTGATTGCCTGTCGTCTCAGATCGAACATTGATATATGAAAGCAATTTTGAGCACACCGTTGAAACCAAGTAGTTCATCCATTGGTCAGATCTGTCCGTAACTATACTAACACGGTAATTATATTCATACGAGTGCTATGATAGGTTTATCTTGCCTTGTGAGAGGTTCGAGCTGTTATAAGCGAATCGATATCCAATCATCAGATATTTAGTTATCTATTGGTGTAAAGGGCACATTGACGATTAGAAAGCATTTTACGTCAGGAAAGGGATTGAATGAAGGTCTTGCCACAAAGCTGAAGTCTCTAGGAGGTCTACAATGTCAGACTGAATGTGCAGGGAGCGAGTGGATGCAGTGGTTGCCTGAATAATGTCAGAGTTTTTAGTGATGGAATACGTGATGAAATGTGTGCGGCTGTGATGCAAAGGGTTTACCTTTAGGTCGACAAGAATCACAGTCTTAGTTGGGTACCGTACCACTGTACCATTTGGACGATAGTCGATAGCGATGCGCCGGAAGCCTGAATTGTGGCAACAGTCGGGTTGTCTAATGTCTATGGCTGGTTCAGTTGCTGTCTTGCAGGCGTTTAGTATGAATGTCGGTGGTGACCGGATGTGTATTGTTTAGAAAACAAATAAATGATGGGAGTCATGTTGACATGTCCGTCGTTTGTACATAGTACATAGGCATGGTACCGTATCACATGAAGAGTGGGTCACGTCTCGGAAACCCTGCGAGATTTGGAAAAATAATGCGCCTCAGTGAACCTTAGGTTTGACAAAATTAACTGATTCCGTGTATCGTAAACTGGTGTTCAGGGGTAATTTCAGTCAGCGCATTGCAGTGAACCCCTGTTCCCCAATCCCCATCGTCTTCGTAGTCTGTCTCCCACATCCAAGGTCAAATTGGAGTGTCCACTCAGTCGAAACCGCCTCTGGGAATGACTACGGTATAATGTTCCTCTACTTTAATTCGGTGAAAAAAGAGGTTAACCCTCGCCGGCCGAGGGGGGGGGGCGGGTGCCGCCCCCCCCCCCATAGGGTTTTTTCGCGATAGCTCCGAACACGCTGGCGATAGAGAGCTGAAACTTGGCATACCTGACCTTTGATCCAAGCCGCATCTTTTGACACCAACCGCATTTTTGGGTCAGGTCAGGTCACTGACCTATGACGTCATAAGTGAACCTCTGCACGGTCTTCAGATGTCGCAACTTCGCAACGCCCTCACTGCCAGAGGAGATGTCACAGGGAAATGAAACTTGCAGGATCTAGTATCAATTATGAGTCCCACAACTTGTATATCTCGGATTTTTCCTAAAGGTCATATGAGGTCAGGTCATTTTCGTGACCTCACCATTATAAGTCAATGGGGAAAAATGAAAACTGCTATTCTGGCGCCGGGAACGATCTCCAACTATCTCAAGCACACAGAATCGTGATTTTATGCACTCCTTGCAAGGTTAGATGCGTCACTTTTGCAATGTTGACCTTGCGTGACGTCAATTATGACGTCATCAAGGTCATATTAGTTTTTCGTCAATAACTCTTGATCAAATTGAGCTAGCGAGTCGGAAAAGCCACCAATGGACTCAGGAAGACCTGCCGAATCGAATGATATGCGAGATGACCTCTTTCGACCAACTTCGTGACCTGGGGGTGCTGACCTGACCTTGACCTGAGGTCAACACCCCAAGTTGACCTGACCCGGACAAAAAGTATACCATTCGACGCGCCTGAGCGAGACGAACACGATGCTGCCAAAATCGGCGCTCTGCGGCCGTTTTTTGCGAAGTTATTCACCAAAAACTGAACCGTACCTTGGGGCACTTGACCTGACCTCAGAGGTCACCGGTTGACCTAGGACCTCAAAATCGGGTACCAATCTCTGCGTCTCGTAACGGCGCACACGCTCGTTTTTTCCGCGACGCGCTAGCTCCACCAGGGGCGAAACGGCGAGGGGGGGGTCGTACCCGCTCCCCCCCCCCCCTCGGCCGGCGCATATGTAGAAAACCAATAGGTCCGGCGAGGGTTAATGTATCACTATCATGGATGAAGTAGTACCTGGATCGGCAACTCCTCGATGTTTGTGACCACCGCTAGGTGGCAGTGGTGTCGAGCGCTAAGGACGCGGGGGAGGCTATTCAAAACAATGGTCGGCGTCGCGTCGTAGGATCGTTTGCCTTGTTTTTTGAAAAGTTAAGCCCCTTTGGAGCAGATTGGAAGGTTTCAGAAGATGGAGGAAGATGGCAAGGTAAGATTGGTAAGGTTTTTTGTGGTTGGAGGGTCTGAGTGGCCTAAAATATGACTGTAAAGAGCGGCTGTTGACGATGCTGGCGCACATTGCTTCTCGCCATATGTCGTTAAAAATCGTATAATTTCCGTAATTGAATGTTACACTTATCTATATGTTTAATTTTATGTTTCTATATGTTTGTTATATGTTTGACACATCATATCTCAAGCTTATACATGCCGCTGATATAGCCATGGTTTTGCTTGTGATACAATTTCGGTCTTGGCAGCGCATGATAGGTGGTGGATGATGCATTGTTAGTTGTGAATTGCTTAAGTTTTTGTTAAGTTTTTAGTTTAGCAAAATCAGTTAGTGTGCCATTATTTTTTAACTCAATATTTGTTCAACTATTGAAAATGGTTTCTGTTTTATATTGTGTAGTGCCAATACCTACCTACCTATAAATTGGTCAACTGCTCACTGTTCAGACTCACTGCTCACCCATATCAGTTTCCTACGTATTTCTCTGAACGGCTGACTAGAGTGCAACACACTTCAGGACTCAGGAGCAGTTGACTGGCATCATGTCATTTCAGCTAATTTTTATAACCTGCTTGCCAATGCCCTGATTTCATAAATAGTTGAATGATATTGAATAAAAAAACACATTTAAATAAATCATGTTCTCAGCCTGAAAAACTGAACCATTTGACAGTAAAAAGAAAGCCTAATGGCAGCCAGTGCCATTGTCAACCACAAATGACAAAAGAGTGCCGACCCTGGTCCCTGACATCAGCTTCCTTCTTTTCTCAAAGCCAAAAGGTCCAGAGTAGTACGAAGAAGTTTGTGAGTTTCCCTCTATTGAATGATATATAACAATCACCTTTTTAGAACGAGTGCTAGCCAAACTGTGTGTAGATAGCAGATAGATTTAAGTAAGATAAAGCCATTTTAAACTATGTAAGCCTAGCAGATAAGGTGTTAAGCTTTTGGGTACTTTTGTTTGGGAGTATCTTGTCAAGGTATTATTTATTTTATTTTTTGCCAACATCATCGCAATGTAAAATACTTTTTGTGATGTTGTGGGGAAACAGTTTGCCTTGGAATGCCCTCACTCTCCATTTCATTACGGTATGCTCAGGTATCTAATTTCCCTCTCTCACTCTTCGTTTCAGATCAAAGAGATGGGTTCAGTTCCCACGGTGTGCTGACTTGAATTGGCATCCTGTGATTTGTGATGTGAATTATGATGCACGCACTCGCAGGTGCACGCCCACTGCGGACACGTGTGACGTGACGGCAGCAGGCAGCCGGGGTGTGAACTGTGAACTGGCTCGGCCGAAAATGTTTAAGGTATCACAGCGTTTGTAACTGACTAACATACCCACTACGGGCATACCCATTGAGCGGATAATGCGTTCGTGTGCATCGTGTTTGCATTTATTCCCGATATACTCTGGTGGTAGGTGTGAATTGGAAACCAGCTTGGTGCTACGACACCGTTTAGTAGGCATGTGGCACGTCGTTTCTCGAAACCTACCTATCAGTCTATGCAATAATATGCATTGTATACATTGTGTGTCATCGTTCACCTTAGTTGTCATTGAACCTGTGTTAAATTCTGAACTTCAGGCCGAGACAGACTATTTCCACAGTCAGGAAATCGCACACGAGAACCTGTTCAAATCCATTAAGTTGCAATAGCATCAATCGCACGCAAGGAGGTGCGTGTTATGGATGCGAGTGCGACCGGGGTTTATTTGAATAGGCTCTCGGTCTCGCACATGATTTCTGACTGCGGAAAGAATCGGTTTCAGCCTGTACTCAGTGGGCAATTCGCTCATGCGACGGCAAATATAAGTTCAATATGGAAACAGTTTTTTAACGAAACGGTGTATGGTAAGCTTATAATCCTGGAATGCTTCTTGATAGAAATTGTCAGTGGTGCAGATATTCGTTAATCGATATGACAGCATTTGTCTTGATCTTTATAAGTCAGTCAAAATGGCTGTAGCAATGATTTGGATGTTTCACGGCGGACGGCACATTTCCTCTGCGGTCTACCGACGACTGAGTTGGAATGCTCAAGCTGATCAGGGGCAACCCGAGTGATAGACAAAGTCGTTTGATCGAAGGTATTTTCAGGCAGCTGGCAGAAGGCGCCTGGCCTGGCCATGAGAGCTAACAATACGACGTGCTGAGGTAAAATCGGCCAGTCGCGCTCGGTAAACGACCCACCACACCATTCTTTCCAAAACGATACATAGTCTATGGAACCGCCCTGGACCGCTCTTCCGGAACCCGACACTGTTGGCCTATGCCAAACTTAGCCGCGGCTGGTTCAGGCCATGTAACTTGCCGGTCATTTTCGGACTTTGCTGGTATCGGCCGCTGTCTGACTGGGCGGCGGCGGCGGGCTGTCCTTAGCAGGGATCAGTCTGCTCGATAGATGGCAGCACTTTCGGGCGGTCGCGCAATACAATGGGAATTCCGCGGAGTTGCCGATCCAGGTAGTAGGTAATCCATGTCACTATTTACCGATCCAGAAGGACTAATCTGGTCAGAAATCAGGGCGGTGTTTCACGGGCTGCTGCTATCACGCTGCTATCAAATTGCGCGAGCTGACGTCACACTTGTGGTAGTGTTGGAGCAATGGGCCTGTTGATGTCTCCATGGAAACCCAATTTGACAAGTCGTAAAATCGGCGTGCTGCTATCACCGGTGAAGCAGGGCCCAGAACATTTCAGTAGAATCGTTAGCGAGCGAGAGTTTGCAATCCGCACCTTTGACCTTCGCAGGTTTCCCTTTGCTAGAGGATTTGGAAGCTATCGAGGTGATATATGGAAGCATTCATGTGCGTACAAAAAAGACGCAGATATGAGTCAGTTTGTGCCAGTTTGTGCTCGGACTGCTTCCGTGTCATTCCGTGTTGGTTTGCAGCTGTTGTTAGTGGTTGAATTTCGCATTTTCTTGTTTTGATTTGAAGCTTTGGGGTTTCAACTGGCTCAAAGGTCAAGAAATAATTAACTGAAGCAGTTGCAGTTCGATGATGTCAAGGAACTGGCAGCGAAAGGCGATTTGAACTGACAAACGAAGAGCAGAGACTGAGACAGCCGACAGGCTCAAGAAACGACTCCAACTTGTTGCACAATCTTCATTGCACGGCGAAAAAGTGGCAAAATTTCGCTGCTAACTTTTCGAAGCATTTATTTACAAACTATTTAACCTCACTGAAGGAGTGGAAGCATGAAGCTTTACAGCGTATCTGTGTTGTACAAAAACCCTCATGTCGCTCAGACCCTGAAGGCAGCTCAGGATTTGCAAAGTTTTGGCTTCTTTCAGAGAGGTAGTGTCCAAGAGTTCATGACATTTACAAGCAAGATTCTTGTAGAACGATCGCAGCAGTCTTCTCGGCAGTCTGTGAGGGAGCAAGAGTACATGTGTCATGTGTACGTGAGGTCTGATAACCTGGCAGGAGTCGTCATCTCAGACCATGAGTATCCACAGCGTGTTGCTCACACCCTGATCACAAAGATCCTGGATGACTTCACGGAAAATGTTCCACCACAGAGCTGGCCTACAGGCACTCCAGAAACCATCAACTTTACTGGCCTTGAAGCTATGCTGGCTCGATATCAGAACCCCAAAGAAGCTGATGCAATGACCAAGATCCAGAGTGAACTGGATGAGACAAAGATTATCCTGCACAATACAATCCAGAGTGTTCTGGAGAGAGGGGAGAAGCTAGATGATCTGGTTTCTAAGTCAGAAGATCTCAGTCTACAGTCTAAGACCTTCTACAAAACTGCAAGAAAAACCAACTCTTGCTGTAATCTGGGATAGATATGAAGAGCCTGCGATGAAATGGTATCATGTGTGCATTATAAATGTGTCACATGTGTCTGTGTATTTTGAAGCATTGTTTATGAGAAGTTTCAGTTTATTCCATTCCAGAGGGCTGTTCACGGACCCTGTGTGCGGTCGGACCGCACACAGCCTCCAAGCTCCGCCCACTGCGTCCCTACGTCAGCCTTCCGTCACCGCACACAGCGACCGCTGTGGCCGGTCGGGACTGGCCACAGCGGACCGTCCACCGCACGCAGCCGTGACGTCAGAGCCGCCTACCCATCCCCTACCCCCACGCCTGCTGGACGCACCGCACACACCGCACGCAGCAGTGTGCGGTGCCCGTGAACACCCCCCAGGAGTATGCTGGTAGGTACAGTGATGGCCGACATGGAAGCATTCTGGTCCAAAGGTTAAAAGTTAAAACTTATTGAATACTGCTGCCGTGTTGTCAATGTGCCTCTTATAGGCAGTTTTATTTGCCTTAAGCTTATGATCAGTTGTCTGTGTTTGCCTTATGTTGACCATATTTTTGTGACATCTTCAATGCTATCCACAGTAGTCTTGCCCTAAAAATTTGTCACCACTCGCTGGATTGTGTTCATGTATGCTTACCCAGAGGCCTGGAGAGCCTCACCATCATGGCACATAGCCAGACATTGTGTGGTCAATGTTAGTAGCTGTTAATAAATGTACATTGGATGCAAGACAACTTTCATGAATGCAACTTTTTATACTAGTGGATCCTGAGTACACTACAGTGAAGTCTTTTTCAGACACTTTCATTTCATTCTTTCAGCCAGGTACTGTTGGTCATAACAATTTAACAAATGTGACACAGGGCCAGGTGTTAGCTGTTTGCTTCACATCCAATTTGAAAGTTTTATCAGAACTTATCAGTCAATTCAATGTCAAATTCTGTCGGTCTTTTTGTGCACCGAGGCACCGTTACACCCAAATTGGTCACGTTCTGGGAATTAATTGCGAAAATCGATATCTTCCAGACAGCGGCACCATCTGAGAATAGCCAGCTGCTCGCTCCTGGCCATATAGCGCTCCTGTTGCGCTGACGGGGACGCCCACAGTAGTTCCCAGCCGCCGCGGCAGACTTGTGACAGCTCAAGAAAAAAGTGAGCTCGCTCAGCTCAACTCCGTCTTATCCGCTCCCGCTCAGCTCCCGCTCAGTTTAACGCGGCTCAGCTCAGCTTACGTTCCGCTCAAACCGGCTGCGCTCCGCTCACGCTCAGCTCAGCTCAGCTCAGTTTCCGCTCAGCTCAGCTCAGCTCAGTTTCCGCTCAGCTCAGCTCAGGTTCCGCTCAGCTCAGTTCAGTTTCCGCTCAGCTCAGTTTCCGCTCAGCTCAGCTCAGTTTCCGCTCAGCTCAGCTCAGCTCAGCTCAGTTTCCGCTCAGCTCAGCTCAGCTCAGCTCAACTCAGTTCCCCTTCAGCTCAGCTCAGTTTCCGCTCAATTCAGCTCAGCTCAGTTTCCGCTCAGTTCAATTCACGCTCAGATCGTTCAGTCGTTCTTTTTAAATCGGACATGCTTAACCCGGCAGGCGGTGGGCCTCCCGGCCACCTTCCGCGCGGTGGGGGGGGGGGGGGGGCATTTTTTGCCCCCCTCCCCCGTATCTCCAAAACTACTGGACAGATCCGGAAAATTCAAACGGCGTTCGATAGCCCTGTCAAATTTGTTGAAGGAAACCAAATTTCATTGACCTCGGGGTCACCGATGACGTCACAGGTCAGGTCAAAGATAAAATGTTTCACCGGTCACGGGGCTTCGCGCTATAACACCGAGTAAAACGCACTTTGTCGAAAATCAGCGATAGGGTGTCAGTTGTCTAGTACATATGTTGCTATAAGAGGTCACTGGTCATACCAGGTCAGGTCACAGGTCAGGTTACCAGAGGTCACCAAGGGTCACCACATGAACCCAACTTTACCAAGGTTGTGCGATGCATGTTTTATGGCCAGTTTTTCATTTCCAACTCAATGGTGTTGGTTATAAGACCATCAGGTACGGTTTAGGTCACTTTCTGGTGGAGGTCAGGTCAAGGTCAGGTAAAAAAAGTCAAATTTCAAAGTTGATATTTCTGCATAAAATGGGTATGGATTCGATGCAGCTTGTCACGGGGAGTCTAATGGTGGTCTTTGTTTTGCGCTACGAGGTCTAGAATTGCTAAAAATTTAGTTTGAAAATTTGACGTCATCAATTTTGAAGTTTTTTCGCTATAACTTGGCCAAAAAAAAGAGGTGTCGATCTCAAATTTGGTATGTAGATAGCAGGCCGTAGGGACTATCACATATCTTACGGTTTTTTTTCGAAATTCAAAAAACTTTTTGGATTTTTCGGCTATTATATTTAAAAAATCTAATTTTTGATTTTTGGGGGTCAAAATCCAAAAATTTCAAAAATCCGAGATTGCAGTTTTGTAGCCCTTTGAATTCTACACTTTTCATGTCTGAATATTTTTCTGTATCTCTAAAGCTGTAGGCCTGACAGCTCTTCTCGCGAAACCTTTTTTGAGGTCGAAAATGGCAGAAATGACGTCACTCTGACGTCATTAGCGTCCAACCTATCATAGCCTTTGGAAAAATTTTAGTCACAATGTGCAGTAGCTGTACACGGGAGGGTACCGAAAATTTGGTGACGATCGGTGCAGCGGTTCTCGAGATATATCGAAAAAAACTAAGGGGGGGGGGCAAAAAATTCCCCCCCCCCACCGCCTGGAAGGGTAAAAAACAGACCGACTCTTGGCACATAAGTAAGTCTCCTCTAGGCTCTAACAAGGAGCGAGGCAACTTACACAATGGGCAAAAGAGATAAGCTCATTAAGACCTTGAGACTTTGCGAGTCGTGCGTCTACTTGGACTCAGACTACATGAAATGGACTGTTCTTGGCAGTGTTATCACATGTTATCACAGTGTGCACCCGCGACAATCACCGCAGTGCACTCACGACTGGCACATGACGAGCATCAATAGAAACATGTTCTGTTCATCAGGGCTGCGGAGTCGATGGATTTTCGGGGACTCCGACTCCGACTCCGGCTTTCAAAAACCAGCTCCGACTCCGACTCCGACTCCGGGCGGGATTGTCGACTCCGACCGACTCCGACTCCGCAGACCTAGCAGGGCTGCGGAGTCGACAGATTTTCGGTGACTCCGACTCCGACTCCGGCTCGGGTTTCTAAAATCGACTCCGACTCCGACTCCGGTCACAACTGTCGACTCCGACCGACTCCGACTCCGACTCCGACTCCGCAGCCCTGCTGTTCATGGCTTAATATCACAGAAAATTCACCCGCAGAGGAGCCCGTCTTATCCGCTGGCTCCAGTGCGCATGAAAATCATCACAGTGGACTCACGACTGGCTCTTGAGTCTTGACGAACATCAATGGAAACACGTTCTGTTTATGAGTAACTATCACATAAAATTTACGCGCAGAGGAGCCCGTCTTCTCAGGTGGCTCCAGGGCGCACTCGCGAAAATCATCGCAGTGGACTCACGACTGGCATGGCACTTGACGAACATCAATGGAAACATGTGCTGTTCTTGGCTAAATATCACATAAAATTCACCCGCAGAGGAACCCGTCTTATCAGCTGGCTCCAGTGAGCACAGCTGAGCACAGCTTAGCTGAGCTGAGCTGAGCTCGCTCAGCTCAGCTCAGCTCAGCTCAGCTCAATCAGCTCAGCTCAGCTCAATCAGCTCAGCTCGCTCAGCTCAATCAGCTCAGCTCAGCTCAGCTCGCTCAGCTCAGCTCAGCTCAATCAGCTCAGCTCAGCTCAATCAGCTCAGCTCAGCTCAGCTCAGCTCAAGCTCATTCAGCTCAGCTCAGCTCAAGCTCATTCAGCTCAGCTCAGACAGCAGCTCAGCTCAATGCATTACTGAGCCGGCTCAGCTCACAGCTCAGCAATTTGGCAAAATGTTGAGCCGGCTCATGAGCTGAGCTGATTTTTGAGCCGGCTCAACTGAGCTGATCACAAGTCTGCGCCGCGGCGGTATGAAAGGCCGGCGGTTTCCGGACGGGGGCGCAGTTCCCAGGAGTCGCCCATCCCCATGGCCGAAGCTCACGATGCTCGGCTGATGTGTTGAGTGGTAGCGGCGTCTCGGGACTCGTTTTCCTCCCCTTCCTCAGTCCTAAGGGCTAAGAGCGGGAACTGGGTTTGGGGAACCCAGAATCTTCGACCGTGCACGAGATTACACACAGACGGACCTGATTCATCTGCTATCGTTCGGGATGTGGAGATAGCACAGTTTCGGCCGATAATCTGGGTAGTTCCTAGAATTGCTACTTTCGTGTATAGAATCGTTACCATGACTAAGCCATTGATACAACGATTCGCCACGCGTCACAGCCGCGTCAGCGAATTCATTGGCGGAGGGGACCGGGTCGATCATGACCTGGCGTTATAATAACCCTCTGAAACCTATTGGGACGTGACAATTCGGTCCGTACAGATGGCGATCTCCCGATCAAATTGAACCGCCGGTGTTTGAATTCATGACGCTGCTCCCTAGGGCCTGGATGCAGATCATTGCCGGATGGGATCCAATCCCAGACGTCGTCCGGGGAGCATCACAAACTAGTTGTACCGGATCGCCCGTATTTTCCGTCCGCCTCAGCCAGTGCGAGCCGGCTCTCTGTTGGTGTTACGTCACGAGCGGCTGGACTAGATTTATCCATATAGCGTCTGGCACGCATCGGCGGGCGATGCCAGTGTCGCGTAAAACTCGATTTAGCCGACAAAGCAATGCTTGCTCTTCATTTCAAAACAATGGTAGGAACACAAGCAGATTGACTCGAGTTACCTCTGCGCGTAGCATTGAAGCGCACGGCCACAGCGCGACCGCAACACGCACGGGTACGTCATCAGACCTCGGTTTTCAAGCTCACGGTCTACAGTGGCCGAAAGCGCCGGGCAGAGCGCGTCGCACTGCCTGCCCACGCCCGTCGCGGGTCGATACTCGGCTCCGGGTCATCCGGCACGGCGCGTCCGTGCCGACGGGGGCAGGCGAGCACCAGCGACTCAGGCAGTGTCGCTCCCAGCCGCCGCGTTACACACGAGAATAGAAGGCAGTTTGCCGGGCTGGGCTCGGCCGCGCACAAGGCGTAACCGACGAGATTACTGGATAACGCATACAAATCCTGCAGGAGTGCATAACTGACGTCAAATGCTCATATGAACCAAAATGTGACTTACACAAACGAAATCCACATGCTGGGCACAATCGAATAACACACTCTGTGCTCAAACAAACAATACACAACAAAGGAACGCCGGGCTGTCATGGAAACGACTGCAAATCGACCGCTGGTGCGGAGATACCAGTGATCGAGCCTGGACTGGCCTGGAAACATCGGAGGCTGCACAGCGGCTTCCACAAAACCTTCTATTGGCCAGGCAGCGCCAGCGTCACCTAATCCCGTCTCCAGAAATATCACATCACAACGCGCCGGGCTCGCAACTCGCCAATCGTTTTTGTCACTGACCACGATCGCTCGTCCTATCCCATCCCATGACCGCTGCGGACAACGTCTTGAAATAGCCACCACAGCCCGTGTCCAGTCGTCGACACTTCACCGATCACTGTGACGGGTGACCAGCCGTCACGCCTTTCACGGAGGTATTCCTAATGTATCCAGACGTTGGGTGAATGGTGAGGCGTCTAAAACGCAGTCCTGACCGTGAGGTTGTCGCTGAGGTCGCTTGAATACCAAGAAGCCGAAGGTTTATACGCTGAGGTCGGCGGGCTAGACGGAGAAGTCGGTGACCTATGCGGTGAGGTCGGTGACCTACGCGGTGAGGTCGTTGACCTAGACGGTGAGGTCAGTGGTGACGGTGCCGCCGTCGTTGATGGCGTTGCGTATCCGGTCCATCTTGGTGGGCAGCAGGCGGGCCATCTCCCGACACGCAGACAGCTCCTCGGCCATTTTCTCCGCACCCAGAGGTACCCGGTCGCAGTAGTCGATGATGAACTGAAACGGGCGACGGGAAAAGACGGTCACGTACGGGAAAATGTGGGACTCGACCGGCAGCGGCGACAGGAAAAGGCGGGGATAGCCCGCTCTGCTAATGCGAGGCTTACTACGTAATAACAAACAGCTGAAACGTTCGTCATGAATGCGCAAAGCGGCATTTTAACGAGATGACTGTGAGCCAATTGCGAACGTGAAAACTACGAAAGCAAAAGAATCGGAGATCCAGTCATGTAAAAGCCTTTCTGTCCACCGCACGGCGCGCAATGTTGCACTCGCCCTCTGTACATACTGTAACGCATTATGCAACAATTGCTAAATAAACAGACGTCGTCAGATAGCAGTTCGCGGAACAGGCCACCAAACTAGTTTTGGGCGAGCTGCACCGCCAGACCGATAAACGATAGCCTAGCTGACTGTAAAAGCTTTCGTCATAATTGTATCACGATAAAGATCATGCATTGCAGCGTGCAGGAAAACTGTTGACATGGGCCGGGAAACCCTGCGCCGTCGGACAGTACAGTACCTGAAGATACATCAACAGATTGAACAAAATGGACGCCCTGTAATATCCCAGATAAGTAGAAATTACGCAGTAATAAATTGGCCCAAAGGTTAGTCATCGGGACAGAAATTACTACATAAAACAAACAGCAGCACATGACCTCGTACATACTGAGTCATACACTCTTGTAGGTAGAATGAAAGCTGAATCAAAATAGAGATCTCGAATGCGCAGCATTATGAGCATCTTACTAATAACTATACAGAGCGACAGTGATCGGTGTCCAATGTCCGGGATCATTTCTTTGTTTTTATTTGACAGTTGTTCGGCAATATTATAAAGGGGTCCGAATCGCTTGACTGGCGCTCCCCGAGGACCATTCAGACAAAACAGGAAGATCTAAAAAAAAAACTTCAGCAAATACACCAAAAAGTACAACGTTTTATGTCAGGATGCGCTCAGCTTACGAGTTAACTTATTTTACGACGATCGGCTACATAACTCTTCTTCTGTATTACTTCCTGTGTAATAATTAATTTAATTAAGGACGGTACTAAAACGAGCGTACTCTGTCTGACCTGGCCCGCACCCACCGCGTCCACCGGCACGCGCGGCGCTCACCCACCTGGTAAGCGGCTATCGACTTCTGGACGTTGGCCAGCTTGGGCTTCAGTTCGATCTCCATCAGTCGGTTGTAGAGGTGGCCCAGGTGGAAGTAGGCGATCAGCACCGGACGCGTCAGGTCCTCCTCGAACTTGTCCGGGTAGTGACCCTCGCTGGGGAGAGGGGGAGGATGGCCGACGGTCAGCAGGCTAGGGGAAGTACCCGGAAAACACTGGAGATAATCTTCAACCTCGTTAAAACACCACATATTTTAGTTGATTAATAACGCATTGGATTTCATATTCACTTTACTCCTTGATGCTTAGTCCATATCGCCCAACGTTATACTGGATCGCGTTGTAACTTTTCTACCCGGGACGCTGCATGCAGTAACAATCAGCATAACGCATTTCTCATCCCCGCTCTCGACGATGAAACAGACAGAGATGACCCACCTGTCTTTGAGTGTGTTGAGGAAGAGGTCAAAGTACTTGATGCTCTGGTGGGCCAGGTGGTTGATTTTCTGTACCACGTGCGCCGTGACGTGCTGTCCGCGCTTGTCGCGGTCCCTCTGAAGCTGTAACAGGGAGAGAGGACACGTGAGTGGGTGTCGGAACAAAGCCAAATACTGACTGACGAATACATACCTACGCCTAAAAGCTAGCAGAAAGGTTCAACTCGATACTCTATGCTTCTACAGAACCATTCAGCCTACATAATGAAAGAGTTCTAGAACACCTCATGGCTCATATTTGTACATCAATTCAACATCTCCCAGCGCTTAGTTTTATGCTGCTTTGACGCTGCGCGGCGTTGTCAAATGTCCGCTATTTCATAACAATATTCAAAACCCAGTCTATGATTCCTCCAGTCGGCCACTACTAAATACCGACACATCTAAAGTCAGCCATCTCCCTCCAACTCCCACCCTCCCCCAATAGCTCACCTCGACTTTGCACTGAGCGATGTCGCTGTAGATCTCTGCCAGCTCGTACTGCAGCTGCCGTATCACCATCAGGTAGTAGGTGGGGTTCAGCTCGGCCAGCAGTGGCTCCAGCAGGTCCACGCGACGCTTGTACATCTTACACTGCCTGAGGTGGGACAGTGGGTAAAGGCATCGTAGGTGCGACACGGGAGCAAGCACCTACTTATGAGGACAATTGACTGATGTATCAAGTGGAAATACATTACTTTTTCATCGCGTAGTCCTGATAAAGGCAAAGTTATCGACCCAATGCTAACACATTTAATACACACTAAAACATAAGCAATAAAATGCGCAAAACAAAGCAGAACAGCACTTGGCACCCTTCGGCTGCTACTGACCTGTCCAGATCACTCTCGAAGAAGATGAGCGCCTTGAAGAGCTGGCTGTGCTCCCGCACGACCTCCACATGATCCGACGCGTGTTCCTCCAGGGTGTAGTACTGTTTGGCCTTCTGGATCCAGCGCTGGGCACACAGAAACACCTTGCGCGCCTCCTCAAAGTCGCGCACTGGCGTGTCCGTCATCTGCCGAGAGGAAAAGACGATGAGTTATTAGAGCGGGCCGGAAGGAGCCCCCGGGAACAGGAGCTTTATCGTCGAACTACGACCGAACCCTCAATACCTTCCACCTCCTCCGTCCACCGTCCGACCTTTCAACACCTGTCCTCCGCCCTCCGTCTCAGTTCTTAGGCCCTTCGCAACCCGTCCCCCATCCTCGTGTCACGTTTGACCAGTATTCCGTCCTGTCTGATCACTGGCCTGACCTGCATCTCGTCAATCGCTTCCCTCCGTCTGACCCGCCTCCCACCCTGTCTGACCGGTCTATCGCCCCATCTGGTCCCTCTCTCCCACCGGCCTACCCACCTGTTTCTCGAGTTCTCCGAGCTCCAGCTGCCGGAAGAACAGCTGCCCAGTGCTGGGCTCGGCCGGCGGCGACGGACTCGAGGTGACCAGCCGCTCTGCCGAGCACTGCAGCAGCACCTGGCCCAGTTTGGCCCAGCAGCGAGCCACGTCCGCCTCGCGGTGACGGAACCGCTCCACGCTGGGACGGGAGGGAAAGGAGGTTATCTAACGTTACTCTGTAAGGGATGTCAATTCACAGAGGCAGTGTTTAAAGGAAACTGTATGACATAGGTAATAGGTATCTAGATGATAGGTAAGATACATGGCGAGACCGTTGCGTCCACCCAATCAGAGGCTTTGAAAACGAAAAATTCACAATCAACAATGAACATCTTCCACATAGGGCGTCTGCAGAAACAAAGCACTATAGTCTGTTCCATATAAAGCTTGCAGTCGGAGTTTCTTCGGCAGATCGCTCCTCCGCTCCAGAATTTGCGTCTAAAATGTAAGAGCTGTATATACAGAAATCACGCACTGCTTTCAGCAGGGCACTTCGGCTGCAAACTTGAAACGGAACAGAGTATAGCATATAAAAAAGCATCCAAACAAACATCAATCCGCAACACATAACCAGTTCATGCTCTCCCCTGAGAAAAGCCACCACAACACTCCCAGAGGGCGCTGTATTCCTACTTTGCCAGGTGCTGTTCGGAGGTCTTGTCGGGCGCCGCATCCAGCTCCTCCGAGTACTGGTTCAGGACCTGGATGGCGGCTGCCAGGTGGTGTCGAGCGTTCCTGGAATTACGGGAGTCTGTAGTCAGTCACAGTGGCGAGTGTCCACCGCTAGGCGGTGTCGGGCATCCTTGGGATAGAGGCATGTCAGACACCAAACTACCATGATTGGCCGCTGCACAGTTAAGCACACAGTAGGGCGGGCTGGTGCAGGTCAGCTGAGATGCGTGGTGACTGCATGGAGTGCAGACACCGAGGTGCCGGTTTATGTTACAAAAGTTTTACTTTCTGTCCTGCCTTCGTCGTAAAACCTTCGTCATAAAACCTACATCAACCATCACTATGATCATAGCAAGTCTTCATTTGACGCCTATGCTGACCACCAACTAGCTAAGCTCAACCTGCAACTCTAACTCTAACCTTAGTTCAACTCTAACCTTAACACATTAAAGCCACTGACCTGAACATCTGTTTGGGCAGGTAGAACTGCGACAGGGTGGCCGAGTTGAGCGCCCACTCGACCCTGTCGAAGGAGCTGCTGTCCAGCTGCCGGGACAGCGTGTTGTGGCAGTACAGCGCCGCCTTCACCGGCTCGCCCACGTTGTTGAACGCCTGAGGGGAGAAACATTACAACGTTACCTGATTGATCGTTTTGACACGACAGCAATACAGTAAAAGTACTTGCATCAAAATGAGAATTGTGACTTCAAGTATCGTAGGTCCGAAAAGAGGTTATATGATACAGTAAATGTGCTGGTGTCATCACGTCTTAGACTTGTCCACCTAGTGGACAAGACACAGCCTCAAAAATCAACAGTGTGGAGTGGATCATAACGCTGCACCAGCCACGTCTTCCTGACCTACGTACGTAGACGGTCAGCGTGCGCACTATACTGTCTAGTTTCTGACCTGCGCCAGGTAGTAGAGTGTCAGGGTGTGCAGCTCCTCCAGCTTGGTCAGCCCGCTGCGGCCCTCCTTCGAGTCGTCCGTCTTCTCCTCGCCATCCGAGCGGGACGGACGGAACAGGTCCGGCAGGTCCACCGGCTGAACGGAGCGGGTCACAGGGGTCAGCAGAGGGTCACAGAGAGGTCAGCAGAGGTAGCAGGGGCAACGGAGGTCACAGGCTGTAGGGATCAGTTGCTATGCTGGGATCGGGGCTAAAGCTGTTGTGGGTACATGTCACATGAAGCTCCCTAGCAGTGATCAGGTGTGTGACAATGGAACGTTAAAACCTCAATATCCAATGAAAAAACGACATGCAAATCATGCATCAAGTCTCTTTCTAGCTGACCACTTCCATTACTAACTCCCGCCCCCGTTGCCTCCGGACATCGTCACCGTACCTTGAGCGTGACCTGCTCCTTGTACTTCTGGTACACGGTCTCTGCCGTCTGCAGGTAGTGCTGGCTCCGGTTGTGCTCGCCGCGTCGGCTCCACACCAGACCCAGCTGGTTGAGCGCGTTCAGCGTGCTCAGCACGGTGCAGGGGCCGAGCGCGGGCGCAGCGCGCACGGCCTCCTCCAGTAGCTGCTCGCCGGCCGAGGGCTCGTCCGTCTCCACGCTGATGTAGCCGAGGTAGAACAGCACGGCCGCCAGCTGGTGGCCTGCCTCAGTGATCACGTCTGGGGGGGGGGGGGGGGCTAGTTCAGAGGACTATTCACAGCTTCTCTGGGAGGCAGTAATGCACACCGTACCAAGACACCGCGATATGATGATGAGCATATAGGAAAACAGTGACATTTTCACTGCTGAAAAATCGTAGTAATTTGTAGATGATGTAAACAGTTAAAAAGTATTACCTGACAAAGAACAAGTAGGTAACAGATGATGGAGCACTTACCACTCTGCTCGATGTGACGTTCCAGCTGGAACTTGATCTCATTCAGCAGGTCCCTGGCAGCATATTTGGACTTGTATGGTTCTTCTTCAGGGTCCTTTGGGCTCTCCACCTCAAGAAGGTGCATAGCCTTCTGGAACTTTTCATAAATGCTGGCTTGTGTTTCTGCATCCATCTTGAGAAAATGTCAAGCCTAGGACACTTCAGCACCTGAAAAATAACTATGTGTTGTTAGATGGATCAAATGAATACATTTGTCAAAATCAACATCGATTGCTCATTACTCAATACTGTAAGGCTAAATAAAGTCAGGTACTGACCTATGTCAATTTAATTAAACATATCTTTGGTACATCACCCCTAAGCCTGTGAGGCTTACAGGTGTTATAACCGGGCCAGACTGGAAAACATCCATACACTACGCCGGACGCCCGTGAGACCCTCTTGCGCCGAAATTCGGCGCACGCAATTTTGCGCTGAAATTTCTGTGTGATTTGCGCCAAAAATTAGGTGCCTATTTGTGCGAAAATTAAGCCCTTTTTATATAAAGCACATGTGCACGTCATCTACCGAGTACCGATCAAGGCTATATGAACCAGACAGAGTGTTCGGGGGCCTTGTATGCTCTCCCATGTTTGAGCGTCCAAATGAGTTTTTCATTTCCACAGAAACCCAATACCTCAATAGTCTTAGCGCACTCTAGCTTCATGCCGTGAAACAAAGCTGGAGCCGTGGGTTCTGGGGCCACAAATTTGTGCCGGCGGAGCAGTGTGTTCGAGGCTGGTGGGAGTGGCAGCGAGGGCCGGGCAGCGGAGCAGCATATGCTCTGGCACATCACCCTCTTATCGGCACACGGCGCAGAACGCCGCGGGGCACCGCTTGTCTGGGCACTGCTGGCAAGCTGCAGAGTGGAGACAGCCGATTCGGTGCACATACTGGAGCGAGCGGCCCCAGTGGCCCGCCCTCATCTGGTGCACCGAAACGGCGTCCTCTCGGTCCTCTCCGGGGATAGGGAGCGACGGCGTGCTCCCTAGGAGTGGCTTGAATAGTGATTCTGAGCAGTTGCCGCGCCATTGATGCGAGGCCGCACAGTGAACCGCCCTGGTCAGCGAGTGGGCGTTTGAGGGCAGGGCGGCCGCCTGTTTTGCCAGGTCGTCCGCGCTCTCATTCCCCTCGATACCGCAGTGGGCAGGAACCCACTGCAGGAACCCACTGCACGACGTTTGGCGATGTTCAACAAGGTCTTCCATACCTATCTCCACACCGAGGGTTGAGGCCTCCCTGGGCAGCCGCTTCTCCGCTGAGTTGGAACCAGTGTACCAAAATCATATTTTTGCTTGGGTGTCAGAGGGGAAAATTGCAGACCAAAAAAAAGGATGAGAGTGAAAAATTGTCGGTCAGGTAAGGCCCAAAAAGAGTGGGAAAATGATCAAAAACATGAATCTATCTACAAGTGTGACAGATGTAAAACAATCATTCCCGCAATTGCTCCTTCTCGGTGGAATTGGGAGTGGAAAATTGGGCTTGAAAACTGGAGGTGAGAGTGGAAAATGATTTGCATTTGGATGTCGTTTCCCACCCACATCTACAAATTTTGGGACACTGGTTGGAACGGCTCACCAGTTCGAGCACGCGATGACCGGGGCGGGGAGGTCTCGTCCCGAAACCTCTCCAGAGCCGCCCGCGGGGCGAATCTGCTGCTAGATTGACCAGTGTACCGCATAAATTCAGTAGGCGGAACTATGGTCAAGCGTACCCATTTTCGGGAACGCATTTTCGTTCCCATGTTTGGGAACGATAAACCCAAATATGGGAACGCCATGTAGGCATTATTTAAAACAAGAAAAAGAACTGTTAAATGACGTCCAAAAAATATAAAACGATCGTGAACCGCCTGATAGTTGTCTCAATATTGTTGGGAAAGAGTTTGATATTGTAAGGCCCATCGTAGTTTCAAATCGTTCCCCTATTTCTAAAGCAGTCCATCACCCGGGCCGCGAGCCCAAATTTGGGAACGCTGTCGTACACTGGCGCTGCAAGCGTTCCTTATTATGGGAACGGCGTACCCAAAATTGGGAACGATTTCACCGACGCCTTTCAGGGGCTCTTTTCATTAACAAGCATCACGTCCAACGCCGCAAATTATTGTTAACGCAACAATCATCAGATGACCTTTCCGGCAAGACCGTTGCATGTTTCGCCCGGTCTTCTGCGCTTTTATTCCCGTCGATCTCGCAGCGGGCACGCCCCCCTCTGCAGGATTACGTAATCCACAACGCTCAGCGATGTTCAACAAGGTCTTCCATACCTATATCCACCGTCCGCGCCGAGGGTGGAGACATGTCAAGCACCTGTCTGCTAATCACCGAGAGTTGACGAGCACAAGAAGTATCCAAAAATGGGAACGCTGAATATGTTACACCCTCAAAACACCTAGTCCCAATGAAAATCTAGTTTTTTCCTTTCTTAATGAGTGTAAGTGGCAAAAGGCCTGGTAGGATGGGCACGACGTATGATCGAAATCAGCATAAAAATTATAAATAAGCCACACAGAGCGACCTATATCAGAGAAATTCCCCCAACCGATCATGCTTAGAAACGCCGAAGACAAAAACCACGCTCATGACACTGCTTATAAAACAACGCTAAACAGCTAGCATCCAAATAAAATATGTCTTTCAGGGCTGATAAAATACAGCTGAATGATTTTAAACCACTGAAACTGAGTTTACAACAGTAGTTCGGTAAAATCACTGACGTTCCACGCGGTCGATCGCCCCGACACCAAATGTCAACAATATTACCTCGGGACTGTCCGCGTGTTCGCTTGCATATGTCATCATCTGGTGTCGCTAGAATGAAACTTCATAACCAGGCGAAAATTATTATACTTGACCTCAAAATGTAAAAAATGCTTCATTTTCCTTAAACTTGCATGTTAAATGTCGTATAACCCATATTTCCACCATTCTGTCATTTTTAAAAAATCATTAAAAATATCATTCCACGGTCAATTTCCTTGTTCCACGGTCAGATTAAAGATAACTTTATGGAGATTTAGTAGATACTTAAATCAGCGTGCACTTTTTTGAGACGTGATGCACTTTTGAGTTTTAGTGGGCGAACGGCCGAAAAATTGCCTTCCGTTCTCATAAATGGGAACGCCCGTTCCCATATTTGGGAACTCCGTTCCCAAAAATGGGAACGTTCCTATATTTGGGTACTCATGACCATAGTTCCGCCTACTGAATTCGGTGACCGTCTTTTGCCAAAAAAATTACGCGACTGCCCTGCACCGAAAAATTATTCCGCCGCCATGCGTGAATTCGGCGCATGCGAAGTTACGCCGCACATGCGCTGAAATTTTTGGCACAATCCTGCCACTACGCCGGACATATTCGGCATAACGTGTATTATTTCCAGTCTGGTAACCGGGAATGTGTGCTCTCACCGCATGGAGTCCAACGCTCTGCCAACTGAGCTACGGGACCGGCATCTACCTACACATCTGAAATTAAAATGGGTCGAGTCTGACATGGATTGCTATATGCTCCTCATTCTGCATTTCATACATCTAAGCCCTAAGGTAGATGAATGCATAAAATTTGAGTTCATGAAATACTCACCTATCTCACCGCAAGGTATATAAAACACTCACCTTATTTTATGTCTCTTGTGAACATCCGTCAGTCCGTCCGTCCAATTTCCGTCCGTCAAAAAAATACACATGCCCCAACATCAATCCCCACATGCACGCCTTTTTCGGTATCCTATAAAGTGAAGGAATTTTAAACGGAACCTCTCCCATGTAAATCACTTCGGCACTGCATGAGCAATGAACATATCTATTATGATATCTATGATGAGCGTTATTACTTTTGTGCGATAAAATATATTCCAATTTTTATATAAATAGATCAAAACAGTATCCAAACTTTATCGGCAACAAAAAAGTGCCTAATACATTATATAGGCTGTTTCGGGGTAAAAGTATTCTGCGTTTCTGGCAAAAGAAAAGAATACCAAATCCGAAACTTTCGATATGGCAGCAAATAGGGTTCCGAACATGGCGCAGAAGTTTCATTTCATCAAGGCCCTATATACCATTTCATCTCGTGCCGCGATTGCTGAGGGTTGAATTTTTACTTTTGTATTTTTTGAAGAAATAATGGTTTTAAGATGAAACCTTTATTGGAAAAAAATGAGCGTTTTGCCATTTCCATACATATGAGTGCGAATTTTGCAAGCTGTCGCTCTCGTGTGTATCTCAACAAATCATAATTGAGGTGCAACTAATGGTTATCTTTGCCACCAACAAAATCAGATGATAACTGCTCGATTTTGTCTTTTTTTCTGCTTCAACGAAGTAAAAACATGTAAAGTTAAGCTAGGCTAGTCAGCTTTGATTCATGAATTTTTTTTTAAAAATAATGTAGGATACAATCACAATAAGAGAGTCAACAGGGACACGTGGGTTTACAGGCATGCCCTGTGCTGGTGCCCACCTACCTTCACAGTTCTAAATCATGTGCAGAAATGTTCATTGTTGTGTACAGAAATATTGATAACCAGGGACATCCTTTAACTTCATTTCATGGACCACAATTTTCCATTGAAGCAATATGAGTGTTTTACTAGCAGTAGCGTAATCATCCTATGAACCATCAACAAGTCACCTTAAAATTTATGTTTTTCATTTTACTGAATGCTAGAAATACTTATCTTTGAGTTCACAATATTCCTCTTCTTGTGTTATAGGTTTAAATTGATCTGCATATGAAAATAAGAACTTACAAATTTATAACAATATAGCCTAACCTAATCATCCTATGAAATATGAACCATAAACAAGTTACTATGAGATTCTCATGCTTTTCGTATTACTGAATGCTAGAAATTCTTATCTTGGAGTTCACAATATTCCTCTTCTTGTGCTATAGGTTTATAATGATCTGCATATGAAAACAAGAACTTACAAAATTTTAACAATATTTTTGACAAAGAGAGACCCATGTCATAGGCAATGATTTCTTCAGTTGGATATTAATCTTGGTAGGAAATGATAAGAACACATTTAGGGCGTCTTTTAACTCCATTGCAACCCACTAGGATAAAACATAATGCATGTGTATAACATTGGCTGCCTTGAATGTTAGGGCCTAATGAGCTTAGTAAATAGTAAGTGAGGTCAATCATTGAGTGGGTATATTTGGCTGATTGTAGGCTAATGGCCTAATGCTCTTTTAACATTGACAGAATTATATTATTGACCACAGATGATATTATTATCTAAGCTATGCTAACTATGGTACTGAACTATGTTGAATGTCACCACTCAGCTAAGCATCCTTTATAGTGTACAATACATTTTTATAAATCCATCCATGAGCAGTTTATATAATTTTCCTTCCATTTATTATGTGCAATCATTTATGGATTATATTGACCCATTTTATCTTCCAGAGCACTTAGCCACCTTGCTAGAGGACATATTGTTATTAGCAAGCAATTTACTAGAGGACTGCAAGTTAACTTGGCCAGTAGCTACTGCTGGCAGCTCTAACTGACTCCAGCTCGGACTGACTCCTGGCTCTGAGGCTCAGTAAATTACCCTTCCATCACCATCACCGACTGACGGCGGCGATGGCAGCCGCGCGCTGCATCCGTCTGGCGTCCGGCCTCTCCGGTCTGCCGGGCCTCTCCGGCCTCCCGAGCGTGTCGCGGCTCTCACAGCAGAGGATGTGTCACGCCGCCGCGCTGCCCCGCCTCGAGCGCCGACCGCTGCTGCAGCGGCTCGGTCCGACCCTCGTCAAAGCCTCCTCTGTGGCGCTCTACTCTACCGGGAAGGGCGGCGAGCAGGGCAGCAAGCCCACCACCAGCTTCACGTCGGCGCCCTCGTCCGGGTCCGGTCTGGCCGACCAGATCCTCAGCGCCAAGGTGAAGGCCGAGAGCGGCGGGGAGGACGCGGGGAAGACGCGAGGAGACGGGAAACAGAGTGACGGAGGGAAGAGTGAGGAGGAGCGGGAAGAGGAGCGGAGGAAGGAGGCGTCCTGGCGCGCCATGAAACTGTCGTTCGGCCTGTTTGGTGTCATGTGCGCCGGCTTCGGCGGATGGACAATCGCAGTATTCGGTGAGTGCTCCACTGAACTAGGAAAGTTTGTTACGGAGCGAGCGAAGCGAGCGGAGTCTCATACTGAATTAAGGGAAAATCCTGAGTATGAGCGGCCGGCCGGCCGTGGGAACGCTCTTCAAAAGCTAATAGGTATCTTAGGAACGGGACATCCGATTGACAAGCGGTCTTCTTTACTGAATGTCACTTGGACGTAAAAGTTCTGTGGTGTGATGGCCACCATGCGTTCTTCCCAACCACCGCACGTGGCGCGTGTTAAAGTTGGACATTTTTTAACCCGCGCACCGACGGGGGGGGGGCGGATATCCGCCCCCCCCCCCTGAGGTTTTTCGCGAATAGCGGGAAAACCGCGGCGCTACGCGCCGCGAAATTTGGTATGACTATAACCTCATCAATTTTACACATGGTGTGCAAGTTTGAACCTCTTACCTTTTAAGGTCAGGCCACCAGGTCACTTTGAATGACCCAACCTCAAGTCACTTTTTTGCAACTTTGTCACCGTGCCAGAGCTACAGTAGATGTCGGAGGCCTTTGAAAGTCGCAGGATATTATTAGGTCATTAGTAGCTACAATTTGTATATCTCGGAATTTTGATATCGGTGACCTAAGGTCAGGTCAATTTCGCGACCTCCCCATTATAAGTCAATGGGGGAAAAATCAACTCCCTGTTTTTACCACTAAAACCGGTCGGAATGGCCCCATATACCATACATGACTTCATATACGATCAACCTTCACTACCTTGAGGTCTGTTTTGCTGTTGGGCAGCTGTGAGGTCATGTGACGTCATCAAAGGTCACCAAAGGTTTTTGGCCAATAACTCCGTACAGGAACAAGATACAGACGCGTGGATGGTCTCATTGTGTTCAGCTCGTCAAGACGCATCGAATGATATACATGATGACCTCGAGGTCACGTGACCTGAGGTCAACCTTTGACCTTGACCTTTCGAGGTCAACATATATATCATTCGATGCGGATTGACAAGAGGATCACGATGATGCCCTTAGTTTGTTCCTATCTTGACTAATTCGAAAGTTATTCGAGAAAAACTCCATATCTAGCGCCGCCATTTTGACTTTTTCGACCCCTGTGACGTCATCTTTGACCTGACCTGAAAATGATCTTTGTAAAAATTGTAGATCTTGGCCGTGCGTATCCGATGCCGTTTACCGCTTGTCGCTATCTTGCTTCGTTCTCGAGATCTCAGGGGGGGGCGGTCATCCGCCCCCCCCCCCGTCGGTGCGAAGTTGGCGCAGACCCCCGTCGGTGCGCGGGTTAAGAACCCCCAAAATTGCAACCCCAATAACAGCATAACGGTTGGGCCGATTGAATTGAAACTCGGTACACAGTTAGGTCTCCATCAGATAATTCATCTGCATGTGTTAACCCTATTCCTGGCGGGGGGGGGGCCTCAGGAGCCCCCCCCCCTGAGGTTTTTTGGTTATATCTCCCAAACGCGTTGAGCTAGGAAGCTCAAATTTTCTGACTTTTCCTAAAAGGCTTCTACGCAACATGTCTGAAAATTTTGAGTTGATCTGACCTCAGGTCAGGTCACCAGAGGCGGTTTGGTGACGCTACCTCAGAAAAGTTTGCAATCACGCCAGAGCTAGAGTTTTTGACCGATCACTTTCTTCTCTTCAGGGTTTAGTTAGAGTACCAGTATGTGCAATTTGTATATCTCGGAATTTTGATATCGGTGACCTAAGGTCAGGTCAATTTCGCGACCTCCCCATTGTAAGTCAATGGGGGAAAAATCAACTCCCTGTTTTTACCACTAAAACGGGTCGGAATGGCCCCATATACCATACATGACTTCATATACGATCAACCTTCACTACCTTGAGGTCTGTTTTGCTGTTGGGCAGCTGTGAGGTCATGTGACGTCATCAAAGGTCACCAAAGGTTTTTGGCCAATAACTCCGTACAGGAACAAGATACAGACGCGTGGATGGTCTCATTGTGTTCAGCTCGTCAAGACGCATCGAATGATATACATGATGACCTCGAGGTCACGTGACCTGAGGTCAACCTTTGACCTTGACCTTTCGAGGTCAACATATATATCATTCGATGCGGATTGACGAGAGGATCACGATGATGCCCTTAGTTTGTTCCTATCTTGACTAATTCGAAAGTTATTCGAGAAAAACTCTCTCCATATCTAGTGCCGCCATTTTGACTTTTTCGACCCCTGTGACGTCATCTTTGACCTGACCTGAAAATGACCTTAGTAAAAATTGTAGATCTTGGCCGTGCGTATCCGATGCCGTTTACCGCTTGTCGCTATCTTGCTTCGTTCTCGAGATCTCAGGGGGGGGGCCGAATCGGCCCCCCCCGCCAGTTTCTTGTCCCGGCGGAGCCCGCCAGGAATAGGGTTAAAGGGACCCTCCCACCTTAACATTAGTTTTGAGTTGAGATAGCCAAGTTTGCGGCCAGGCTCAGAAACCACCATTTATCCTGGTCGCAACCCCCGCAGCTTTATGGTGTTCAAGAAATGTCTTCCCTTTACTTGCAGGGTGGGACCAGCGTGGTCCCTATCTCTTAACCATTACGGGAATCTGATGACGTCATCAGGCTTTCAAACGTCCGTTAAATGTTTGACTAAAATGTTTTGTAGCACGCGGTGGTATATGCTGCTTTGCGCGCAACAAATGCCGCACTTTCAAATAAAGTCGCTAGGAACAGCGGAGATCCCAAAAAGTAAACAAAAGTAAAAGTCTAATATCTTGAAAACCGGTGAATATTTTTTGATGAAATTTGGTAGATATTCGTTTTTGCTCTTTCTGAACCGAGCGACATCACTTTCATGCCAATTCATTAACTTTTTTGAAGGTGGGAGGGTCCCTTTAAGGTTGGGGTGCTACAGCACGTGCGCACGTGCAGGGGGCGCTCCCAGATCTCGAGAACGGCTGGGCCGATTGCGCTCAAATTTGGTACACGGTTGGGGACCAGTTAGTAGGGTGCCGTGCAAAAGTCAGTTTGGACCCCGCTTGCACGTGCGCACGTGCAGAGTGCCGCTTCCAGATCTCGAGAACGGCGAGGCCGATTGCGCTGAAATTTGGCACATCGCTTAAAGGGACCCTCCCACCTTAACATTAGATTTGAGTTGAGATAGCCAAAATGGGGTCCCTGGCTCACAATTACCGGTTTCGGCACTCACAACATCGAGAAATGCCTTAAATCGGAAATATTGAATTTCAAAATTGCAGCATTTTGATTCAGAGGGGCTAATGCTGAGGAATACCCCTCTGAATGTGTGACGTCAGCGCAGATATCTAACGATTTTTAAATGTTTGACTAAAACGTTTTGTAGCACGCGGTGGTATATGCTATTTGCGCGCAACATCTGCCGCAAACGCCGCACTTCTAAAATAAAGTCGCTAGAAACAGCGGAGATCCCAAAAAGTAAACAAAAGTAAAAGTCTAATATCTTGAAAACCGGTGAATATTTTTCGGTGAAATTTGGTAGATATTCGTTTTCGCTCTTTCTGAACCGAGCGACATCACTTTCATGCCAATTCATAAACTTTTTTGAAGGTGGGACGGTCCCTTTAAGACCGGTTAGTAGGGTGCAGTGCACAAGTTAGTTGGAGGTGCCCCCTCGCAATTTCGCACGTGCAAGGCCCATCCTCTCGCTCGCTCCGTTGGTCGCCCAAAAGGCGTTTTACTGGTTATTACGGAGCGAGCGAAGCGAGCGGAGTCTTTCCTTAGATTAACGGAAATTTCTGAGTATGAGCGGCCGGCCGGCCGGCCGGCCGTGGGGACGCTCTTCAAAAGCTAATATCTTAGGAACGGGACATCCGATTGACAAGCGGTCTTCTTTACTGAATGTCACTTGGACGTAAAAGTTCTGTGGTGTGATGGCCACCATGCGTTCTTGCCAACCACCGCACGTGGCGCGTGGTGAAGTTGGACATTTTTTAAGAACCCCCAAAATTGCAACCTCAATAACGGCACAACGGTTGGGCCGATTGAATTGAAACTTGGTACACAGTTAGGTCTCCATCAGATAATTCATCTGCATGTGTTAAGGTCGGGGTGCTGCTGCACGTGCGCACGTGCAGGGGTCGTTTCCAGATCTCGAGAACGGCTGGACCGATGGCGCTCAAATTTGGTACACGGTTAGGGACCAGTTAGTAGGGTGCCGTGCACAAGTCAGTTGGGACCCATTTTGCACGTGCGCACGTGCAGGGTGCCGCTTCCAGATCTCGAGAACGGCTGGGCCGATTGTGCTCAAATTTGGCACATCGCTAGAGACCGGTTAGTAGGGTGCCGTGCACAAGTCAGTTGGAGGTACCACCTCGAAATTTCGCACGTGCAAGGCGCACCCTCTCGCTCGCTCCGTTAGTCGCCCCATAAGGCGTTATACTGGTGCTTTATACCAATTTAGGGCGTATATTTCAGTTGCTAGGGTATCGATCTCTTACCTACAATCGCGACATTTATTGGTTTTGGTTTTCAAAATGGCATTAGAATATATGTAGTGATGGCTTTATTGATATTTCATTTTTCACGTTCCTGCTGTGTGATCTCCTGTTCTGTTTTATTTACAGGAGCGCCACCTAAGGACCCCGATGGGAATGAGATGCCGGACGAGTTTTCCGACATGTCCATAGTGACGCAGTACCTGGCCAGGACGTGGAAGGAAATCAAACTCTACAACAAGGTTCGATTACAGAACGGTCGGCGACAAGTGCGGTTATATTATTACAATCTTGCTACGTTACTTTTTAACGTAAGCTTTTGTTAAAGCAAATGTTTGAGCGGGTTGTGTGTTCCCGAAACAGTAACGATTTTTGGCCATTCATCCATTGCAGTAAGTTGTTTCGAGCAGAAATAGCAGCACGCTACAACCATCATTTCCCGTCTCTTGTCCGACGATTCGTTTCTAACCGTCCCGTCTTGTGCCACAGATGATCAAGGACCCGTCTCGGGACCAGCTGCTGCCGGACCCGTTGCAGTATCCGTACATGCAGCCGCCCTACACCCTGGTCCTCGAGATGACGGGCGTCCTGGTCCACCCCGACTGGACCTACAAGACCGGCTGGCGCTTCAAGAAGCGGCCCGGTATTGACTTTTTCCTGCAGCAGGTCGGACCGCCCCTCTTCGAGGTGGTCATCTACACTGCCGAACAGGGATTCGTGAGTAAATGGGAAGGGCGGATCGCTAGTAACCGAACCGTAGTAACTTGATTCCACCGGCTGAAAGGAGCAAGCGCTTCTGGTGTCCCATAACGACGACTCTCTAATTTATTGATACCGGACGTCATGACGGGAAATATCTAGGCGTGGTTACCTTCACGAAAAAATCAGTTCGTTGTGCTGGACAGCTTTACTGATTTGATCCTCACCACTCTCCGGCAGACGGCCTCTCCGATCATCGACGCGCTGGACCCGCAGGGCTACATCATGTACCGCCTGTTCAAGGACTCGACACGCTACCTGGACAGCCACCACGTCAAAGACCTGAACTGCCTCAACAGGGACCTCAGCAAGGTAGGTAATACGAATATAAGCCGTGGCGAGTGCGCTCAATGCGCGTAATTCGGAAAGCCTAAGCCGATCTGCTGACTGCTTTCGCGAACTTTTGATGAGTGCAAGCTCCATCGATTTTGTACGTGGAATTTGGCTACCTCATGTTGATAGCTAACGTCAAAATTTCGGTCATGGTCATAACAATGTAGTTTTTGACATTAACAATGATCGGTCCCAGACCAGTCTTCAGGTCACGTCACCGTGATTTACTCGTTTTCAAACGCTCCTCTTTTTTCTACCAGGTGATCATGGTGGACTTTAACGAGAAGTCTGTTCAGCTGAACCCGCGGAACATCCTCAAAGTGAAGAAGTGGACCGGCAATGACGACGACCGCAGCCTGATCGACCTGGCGCTGCTGCTCAAAGGTCAGTCATCAGAGGTTACACAGGGTCACTCAGATCCCTTTCTTGTCAGTCAAGTGTCAGTGATGACTGATGTGTGTCGCAGCGTAAGCGTTTTACGGAGTAAGTCGGAAAAGATGGTTTGAGATTGGTTTCCTTTGTAGAAAATGCTGCTCATTTGACGATCCAAAGACGGCGGCTAGGGCATGAATAATTGAATGCATTTGATCAGTGGAAAGCCGTTTTAGCAGACCACATTGGCTTCCGATAACGAATCCACTCTTTTTCTTCTCACTATGAGCCACCACTTTTGTCCATGTCGAACTATTGTCGGTCAATTTTTGAAGCCGACGGCCCATCGCAGTGGTGACTGACAGACTTCAGACTCTGACTGACTCTCCTTAATTGCCGTGACCTAACTTCTGACCTCGTCCCTCGTTACATCTATACAGCGGTGGCCAGCTCGGGCGTGGCGGATGTGCGGGAAGTCATGGACCACTACCGGCAGTTCGATGACCCGCTGGAGGCCTTCCGTGAGAACCAGCGACGACTTCAGGTCAGTCTTTGTGGTATAACTGTGCTAAATGAGTGATGATAAGGTCTGGATACTTGGGGAGCGTTACGACTGTTAAGGGTTTATTGTGCGAAGTGCAGTAAGGTTTTGTCAAGTACCTATGTTGTCGATTTCTTCGTTTCAGGAGCAAGAAGAAGCCATGCAACGACAAAGAGATGAGGAGGAGAGCAAAGGAGCGCTCCTCAAGAAGAGAGGATGGACGTCAAGCCTTTTGCGACGCTAGTAGTCGCGTGCCCGAGCTTCATTTTCAGGCTCAGGATGTCGTACCAAGTCAGTCATTCATTGCTCGTTCCCGAGCTGCGACTCCGGCGGACGAGATTGAGAATGGCGCTACAATCGGGTCGTAAGGTATCGCCACTGCTCACCGTAGGTGGCGCTGGCCGCATGGCGCCGCTCCAGTGATAATTCGACGACAGGCCGCCGTACTCGTGAGAGCTCCTGTCCCTTGTGACGGTGGCATTTTGTGCTGAATCAGTCTATCGCCAGTGTTGAGTCTTGTTGCCGATGTAGAGCGTCTCGCGGCGCGGCAAGTGACGGGCGACTTTTTCGTCCGTCGGACGACTTTTCTCGTCCGTCGGGCGACTTTTCTCGTCCGTCGGCCGCGGCGCCTGTGTTTGTACTGTGGCCATTCCGTCATGTGCTATCGGTGCCCTCTGGAAATACACGGCGGAAGGCAGCTACAGACGCCGGCGTTTGTGGCGCAGCGATGGCGCTGGCGGCGCGCCGCTGACGACCTTCGCGATCAGCAATGGTAATGGGCTCAGCCAATAGTGTGGGCCTGTCGATTTTTAACGGAGGGCCGCTGAGTTGTAACCCGTGCTGTGAATATGCAGTGTGTTGGTGGGTTGGGCCGGCCGCACGCTGACAAAATCTGCTCCCGGGGTGGCGGTGACGTCAGCCTTTATGACAGGAGCTAAAACGGTTAGAGGATTTCACAGCCGAAAGGATCGGCATTTGGCATCTTCTTTACGCATCGTGATGTGATTTCCGGGATTTTCGTCAGATGGACAAGACATGCGAACTATCAAGAAGCGTTGTGTCCGTAAAAATGGAATGTATTACCGATTCACTCGTTACGGATTTCGAGGTTCGACGCATCACGGAACGGTCTGGTGGTCGATAGTTGGTCGGTGTGAGGTGCCCCTAGTTTTTTTTTTTTTTAGGTACCTACATACATGATATCTGAAGTTTCTCCGCTCCCAATCCTGGAGTTTATTTTCGGTCGCTACTATTTATGCCATATCTTTTTGCTGTCATGCATTGTATTTGTGCATAGGTAGGTATATTTCGTTGAATGTAGATGAATTTTATATCCATGGAACACTCGTCATTTCGACGATTCGATTCGGACAAGTCGCATGGACACTGCATATCACAAGCACGGGAGCTGGTGATCGAAACCAGCTGATATTGCCATGCAAGAAGGCAGCTATAGCAAATGACTTTTTAAACAAGTGAGCATGCATTGCGTAACGCTGCAGTCAAGCCTCGCCCAGTTATGTTTTCCATTCGTCACTGCACGCCCCCCCCCCCCCCCCCCCAGCGACCCTTACTCGACCCAGCCATGTCTCCCATGGCGAGGTCACAGGTCAGGTCAGGTGACCATCTGTCCACTGCGGGCACCAAACGGCCGGGACGTGCCTGGTCGCCGGTCACCGGCTCCCGCTGGTAGCACCACTAACTCTAAGTGATCTAACTTGGTGTCCAGTGGGTCACGTCTGCACGTCCGCCCTGCCCTCTCCCCGTGGCTTGCACCCGACCCCGGCTTGGCGGCATCCTCTGACCAGTCGCCTCCACCGTCTCTATGTTCGGTCACGTCCGATGATTGGTGGCATTTATCTTCCATTGCCTGTCTGCCGTTCTCGTACTGTCTCCGTGCGTTTGATGTGACCCGTCTGCCGTTGTCGACACTGGACTTTACAGCAGTCTGGCGGGGAGACGTCGGCGCCCGGCGGTCGGGGCTCATCACCAATTGTGTGATTACGGGAGGACGTCTGTATACTTAGCGAATTATTGACATTGACGTTCAGCGACAGATTCGCGGACCCCTAGGAATCCGCTGAAAATCCCTATATAGGGGTAACTTGGGGCGTAGAGTCGCGTGGTGCAATCCGTTAAACCCTACACCTAATACTTTTCCCGCTAGAGGGCAGCAAAGTTCCAGCGACAGATTCGCCGGACCCCTAGGAATCCGCTGAAAATCCCTATATAGGGGTAACTTGGGGCGTAGAGTCGCGTGGTGCAATCCGTCAAACCCTACACCCAATATTTTTCCCGCTAGAGAGCAGCAAAGTTCCAGCGACAGATTCGCCGGACCCCTAGGATTCCGCTGAAAATCCCTACATAGGGGTAACTTGGGGCGTAGAGTGGCGTGTTGCAATCCGTTAAACCCTACACCTAATACTTTTCCCGCTAGAGGGCAGCAAAGTTCCAGCGACAGATTCGCCGGACCCCTAGGAATCCGCTGAAAATCCCTATATAGGGGTAACTTGGGGCGTAGAGTCGCGTGGTGCAATCTGTTAAACCCTACACCTAATAATTTTCCCGCTAGAGGGCAGCAAAGTTCCAGCGACAGATTCGCCGGACCCCTAGGATTCCGCTGAAAATCACTACACAGGGGTAACTTGGGGCGTAGAGTCGCGTGGTGCAATCCGTTAAACCCTACACCTAATACTTTTCCCGCTAGAGGGCAGCAAAGTTCCAGCGACAGATTCGCCGGACCACTAGGATTCCGCTGAAATAGGGGTAACTTGGTCGCCGGACCCCTGGGATTCCGCTGAAAATCACTACATAGGGGTAACTTGGGGCGTAGAGTCGCGTGGCGCAATCCGTTAAACCCTACACCTTATACTTTTGCCGCTAGAGGGCAGCAAAGTTCCAGCGACAGATTCGCCGGACCCCTAGGATTCCGCTGAAAATCCCTACATAGGGGTAACTTGGGGCGTAGAGTCGCGTGGTGCAATCCGTTAAACCCTACACCAAATACTTTTCCCGCTAGAGGGCAGCAAACTTCCAGCGACAGATTCGCCGGACCCCTAGGATTCCGCTGAAAATCCCTACATAGGGGTAACTTGGGGCTAGAGTCGCGTGGTGCAATCCGTTAAACCCTACACCTAATACTTTTCCCGCTAGAGGGCAGCAAAGGTCCAGCGACAGATTCGCCGGACCCCTAGGATTCCGCTGAAAATCCCTACATATAGGTAACTTGGGGCGTAGAGTCGCGTGGTGCAATCCGTTAAACCCTACACCCAATACTTTTCGCGCTAGAGGGCAGCAAAGTTCCAGCGACAGAATCGCCGGACCCTTAGGATTCCGCTGAAATAGGGGTAACTTGGTCACCGGCCCCTAAGATTCCTCTGAAAATCCCTTCATAGCGGTAACTTGGGGCGTAGAGTCGCGTGGTGCAATCCGTTAAACCCTACACCTAATACTTTTCCCGCTAGAGGGCAGCAAAGTTCCAGCGACAGATTCGGCGGACCCCTAGGAATCCGCTGAAAATCCCTATATAGGGGTAACTTGGGGCGTAGAGTCGCGTGGTGCAATCCGTTAAACCCTACACCTAATACTTTTCCCGCTAGAGGGCAGCAAAGTTCCAGCGACAGATTCGCCGGAACCCTAGGATTCCGCTGAAAATCCCTACATAGGGGTAACTTGGGGCGTAAAGTCGCGTGGTGCAATCCGTTAAACCCTACACCTAATACTTTTCCCGCTAGAGGGCAGCAAAGTTCCAGCGACAGATTCGCCGGACCCCTAGGATTCCGCTAAAAATCCCTACATAGGGGTAACTTGGGGCGTAGAGTGGCGTGTTGCAATCCGTTAAACCCTACACCTAATACTTTTCCCGCTAGAGGGCAGCAAAGTTCCAGCGACAGATTCGCCGGACCCCTAGGAATCTGCTGAAAATCCCTATATAGGGGTAACTTGGGGCGTAGAGTCGCGTGGTGCAATCCGTTAAACCCTACACCTAATAATTTTCCCGCTAGAGGGCAGCAAAGTTCCAGCAACAGATTCGCCGGACCCCTAGGATTCCGCTGAAAATCACTACACAGGGGTAACTTGGCATGGTGTGTCAAAAGTGGAAATAGCCGGTGCGCCGTCTGGCAACCCGGGAGCCCGCCGCCATAGGGAAATTCATGCTTTTTGTCGCTTTTTTCGCTCCTTAAGAGTCACTTGATCTAATTAGAGCTTAACTAGGAACGAGGCGGGTCACTTGGACGTATTCGGGAGCCGAATACGGTGTTTTGGAGCCAATACCTGGGAAACTCTACCCGCCCAATGCGAGTATTTAAGAGTCTGCATGCCCAAATTAACGCTGAGCGCGGCCGTTTTCGGTCGGTTTTCCGCGACCTTGTGGCGAAATCGCCTTATTTATTCAACCAGAGTGGGCTAATTCGCTTAACTAGGAATGAGGCGTTGAAGAGAATTATTCAAGGAATAGAGTTGTGCAAAAATATTTTTTGTATTGCTAAAACTGTATCCGCCCTCGAACGATAAATATTGTTGACCCATCAGGAACACATCCCCTGGAATGCGTTTGGACTTGGCTGGATCTAATATTAGCGAGTATCTGCTAATGCAGTTTCTTAGCTTACACAGTACGCACACAAGCATACATACTTCCTGCCCTTGGTTATCCCTCACCTAAGTGAAAATTTTGCTATAATAACCATTCCAAGCAGTTAACAGGTTTTAGTGCAGTGCCAAGTCGGAACCGTTCAGCGCCGCCAGTGTCCCAGGCGGCGCGTAACGGCCGCCGCCGGCCGCGCGCCGCCGCTCTGGCAGGGTGCTTGACTTCATATCTCTGTTGCAAGAAAAGTTGTGGACCGATTTACATGATTCTTGCATGAAAAGATCCGCCATTCAATTCTTAGCAGATAACGAAAATTTGACGTCAATTGCACGATCCGCTGTCCATGTTGTGGTACTGCCATCTATTGACAAGGCTGGCGAACTAAAGCCGGGCGGCTATTTCCACTTTTGACACACCATGGGGCGTAGAGTAGCGTGGTGCAATCCGTTAAACCCTACACCTAATACTTTTCCCGCTAGAGGGCAGCAAAATTCCAGCGACAGATTCGCCGGACCACTAGGATATCGCTGAAATAGGGGTAACTTGGTCGCTGGACCCCTGGGATTCCGCTGAAAATCACTACATAGGGGTAACTTGGGGCGTAGAGTCGCGTGGTGCAATCCGTTAAACCCTACACCTTATACTTTTGCCGCTAGAGGGCAGCAAAGTTCCAGCGACAGATTCGTCGGACCCCTAGGATTCCGCTGAAAATCCCTACATAGCGGTAACTTGGGGCGTAGAGTCGCGTGGTGCAATCCGTTAAACCCTACACCTAATACTTTTCCCGCTAGAGGGCAGCAAAGTTCCAGCGACAGATTCGCCGGACCCCTAGGATTCCGCTGAAAATCCCTACATAGGGGTAACTTGGGGCTAGAGTCGCGTGGTGCAATCCGTTAAACCCTACACCTAATACTTTTCCCACTAGAGGGCAGCAAAGTTCCAGCGACAGATTCGCCGGACCCCTAGGATTCCGCTGAAAATCCCTACATAGAGGTAACTTGGGGCGTAGAGTTGCGTGGTGCAATCCGTTAAACCCTACACCCAATACTTTTCCCGCTAGAGTGCAGCAAAGTTCCAGCGACAGAATCGCCGGACCCCTAGGATTCCGCTGAAA